GAGGGGCCAGGGTTCAGGTTTTTCACAGCCGTCGGGACCCCAGGGTTCAGGTTTTTCACTGGTTTTGTGCCCGTTGGGGTCGGGGCCCTAGGGTTTAGGATTTTCACGGACGGGGGCACGATTTTCACGGCCTCGAGGGGCCAGGGTTCAGGTTTTTCACTGGCGTCGGGGCCCCAGGGTTCAGGTTTTTCACTGGTTTTGTGCCCCGAGGCCCCAGGGTTCAGGTTTTTCACTGGCGTCGGGGGTTCAGGGTTCAGGTCACTGGACTGGTGTCGGGGCCCCAGGGTTCAGGTTTTTCACTGCCACACCCTTTGTGGGCAAAATTTGCTGCAATCGACGCCGCCGTGTTTTCAGAAGCAAAACACCAGGCGTCGATAGCAGCAGATTTTGTCCACACCCTTTGTGGGCAAAATTTGCTGCAATCGACGCCGCCGTGTTTTCAGAAGCAAAACACCAGGCGTCGATAGCAGCAGATTTTGTCCACACCCTTTGTGGGCAAAATTTGCTGCAATCGACGCCGCCGTGTTTTCAGAAGCAAAACACCAGGCGTCGATAGCAGCAGATTTTGTCCACACCCTTTGTGGGCAAAATTTGCTGCAATCGACGCCGCCGTGTTTTCAGAAGCAAAACACCAGGCGTCGATAGCAGCAGATTTTGTCCACACCCTTTGTGGGCAAAATTTGCTGCAATCGACGCCGCCGTGTTTTCAGAAGCAAAACACCAGGCGTCGATAGCAGCAGATTTTGTCCACACCCTTTGTGGGCAAAATTTGCTGCAATCGACGCCGCCGTGTTTTCAGAAGCAAAACACCAGGCGTCGATAGCAGCAGATTTTGTCCACACCCTTTGTGGGCAAAATTTGCTGCAATCGACGCCGCCGTGTTTTCAGAAGCAAAACACCAGGCGTCGATAGCAGCAGATTTTGTCCACACCCTTTGTGGGCAAAATTTGCTGCAATCGACGCCGCCGTGTTTTCAGAAGCAAAACACCAGGCGTCGATAGCAGCAGATTTTGTCCACACCCTTTGTGGGCAAAATTTGCTGCAATCGTGACGCCGCCGTGTTTTCAGTCTAGGGTTTAGGATTTCACAGGTTTTTTTTCGAGTTTTATGTCTAGGGTTTAGGATTTTCACAGTTTTTTTGCGAGTTTTATGTCTAGGGTTTAGGATTTTCACCTTGGAGAAGAGGAGGTGGGATATTTTTCCTAATGGTGTGGGACCCAATGGGCGGGTGGGTATTCCCCTGTGGCCTTGAAAGCTGCTCAACTAGTGAATGCTTGGACCAGAGATGCTGAACCCTAAACCCTAAACCCTAAACCCTAAACCCTAAACCCTAAACCCTAAACCCTAAACCCTAAACTTTAAACCCTAAACCCTAAACCCTAAACCCTAAACCCCTAAACCCCTAAACCCCTAAACCCCTAAACCCCTAAACCCCTAAACCCCTAAACCCCAAACCCCAAAACCCTAAACCCTAAACCCTAAACCCTAAACCCTAAACCCTCCAGCCCCCGGCTGGGGAGGAGCTCGAGCTGAAGCGCTCACTTCCGGCAGCGATCTACGTCTATGCAGAGGCCCATGGCCATGTGGGGTTTGTTGGCGTGGGGTTTAGGCCCTTTGGGCTTGGTTCCCTAAACCCTAAACCCTAAACCCGAAACCCTAAACCCTAAACCCCAAAACCCTAAACCCTAAACCCTAAACTCTAAACCCTAAACCCTAAACCCCATTGGGGCTTCAAGTTTCAGGATTTGGGGTCCAGGGTGGTTGGTGTTTGGTTTGCTCGATTCTGCGGCTAGGGTCTAGGGGCTTGATGGGGTTGTTTTGGGGGGGAGGGGAGGGGTTCGGAGGGTTTAGGGGGATTATGGGGCTTAGCGAGTTTTGGGAGTAGGGGGGTGCAATTAAAGGTTTCAAGGGGTATCTAGGTTTGGGTAGTGCCGGAAGGCAAATAACAATCTACCCTCTGGTGCAGCGCTCACGTTGCGTCTCGTGACGTCCCCACACGTGAGAAATGGGTTCTCCGTTCAAATCTCTCAGTGAACGGACGTTCTTGCCCCCTGGCAAGGGCGAATTGATTGGGTTTTTTTGGAGGCAGAATGTTGAAAGGGTTTGGGGCAGGGGTAGCATAGGATCCCAGAACCACTAGGTCATATATCCTGGAGTCCGGACTCCGAACTCGAGATCTGGACCATTTCTGCACAACCATGTTGCTCATTTTCGTTGGCTCTACTTCCAAAAGGCCATAAATGAATAAAGTTATCATCAAGTGGTGTTCCAAGACCCCCCCCCCCAAGCCCAAGACCCTCAACCCTAGATTCATCCTTGACTTGTCCTTCACCCAAGATTTCTAAACCCTCAGCCGTAAACCCTAAACCATAAACCCGAACCCTGACCCTAAACCCTAAACCCTAAACCCTAAACCCTAAACCCTAAACCCTAAACCCTAAACCCTAAATCCTAAACCCTAAACCCTACACCCCAAACCCCAAGCCCTAATCCCCGAAAC